ATGTATGTATGTATGTATGTATGTATGTATGTATGTATGTATGTATGTATGTATGTATGTATGTAATGTATACACACATATGCACAATGTACTGTAAGGATCTTGTTTGAATTGAAGAATAAATTATGCTCTAATTCCTATTCTAGACTGGTTTGTACAAACTTATAAAACTGATAATGTTCAATGTGGTGTGTTCTTCTGGAAGGATATAAAACCTATCAGGTTAATAAGGTCTTTTGGGCCCCTTTCAGGACTGCATTTTTTCCCCTAGAGACATTTCACATGTTTGTTTTCCTTTAAAACCTCCTAAAATGAATTACTCACAGCTCTTCATGCACCTTGGCTGATAACCAGATCCAGTATATCCCAATAAGTTTGCTAATATCAAATGTAATATTAATCATAGCTATGGTTTAAGGTTAAACTGGAAGCATTCTAAAACTTAGTAAGTATTTTTACTTTCAATTATAGTACAAATTTGAAAGGGTCCATTGGAGAGGGTTCTAAGTGTGGAATTTGCTTGATGCTTTAATATTTTTATACGTACTGTTTTTACCTTTTATATTTTGTCTTTAATGATGTAAGCTGTCCTGGGTCCTCTTTAAGGCAAAAGGTGGGGTAAAAGTATTTGAACTAAATAGACAAATAAATCAGTTTACAGTCCTTTCAGTCCTTACACCTTGAAATAGACTGCTCAGATTTCTTAGCAAGCTAGTGGAGAGTGTGGCGGCCAATTAGCTACAGGCACTTCTGGAGGAGGCTGATGCCCTCGATCCATTCCAGTACAGGTTCAGGCTGTGTCATGGCACTGAGACAGCATTGGTCGCCCTGCAAGATGACCTTCTGAGGGAGGCTGATAGGGGCAAAATGTCCTTGTTGGTCCTCCTCAACCTTTCCCATCGATCATGGTATCCTCCTGAAAAGGCTGTCTGCGTTGGAGATGAGTGGCCTGGCTTTGACCTGTCTCTGCTCCTTCCTAGAGGACCATCCCCAGAGAGTATAGCTTGTGGAAATGATGTCTATCTCTTGGACTATCAATTGTGGAGTCCCACAGGGGTTGAACATCTCTCCAATGCTGTTTAATATTTATATAAAACCACTGGGGGAGGTCATCAGGAGTTTTGGTGATTTGTGTCACAAATATGCGGGAGACACCCAGATCTATCTCTCCTTCCATCCCTCTGTAGAGGGTGCCATCCCATCCCTTGAGCACTGCCTGGATGCTCTGCTGGGGTGGATGAGGGATAATTCTCCAGCTTAACTGGAGAAGATGGAAGTCCTGTGGGTGGGGAGCCCTAGTGTTTGTGGACTGGGGGCCTCCCTCTCTTTTTCAGGGGGGCTACTCTCTCTGCTAAGTATAAGGTTTGCAGCTTGGGCCTAATTCTGGACCCAGCACTATCAACGGAGTCCACTCCACCTGTGCATCAGTAGTCTGCTCCACCTATTTCCATCTATGGTGGATTGCCCAGCAATCTTGACATCAGGTCCATGCAGTGACAATTTCAAGATTAGACTACTGCAATGCTCTCTACATGGGGATGCTACAGAAACTTCAGCAGGTCCAGAATATGGTGGACAGTTTGCTGAGTGCTATAAAGAAATACCAATATATTTACCCTACTCTGGCCACCCTGCATTGGTTATCTGTTCATTTCCGTGCCAGCTTCAAGGTGCTAATTTACCTCAATACTTGCCAGAAAGCCCCCCCCCCAGGAGATCTGCCTGTCCTATACAGTCATCCCAGGCTGGGCAGTTGAGAGTATTGACCTCAAGAGAGGCCCAGAAAGAGAGGACTAAAAACCAGGCCTTCTCAGTGGTTGCTCCACAACTCTGGAACAACCTCCCACTCACAATCTGCCTGGCCCTTTCACTGGGAACTTTTAAATGATCACTAAAAACATGTTTTTTTAGACAGGTCTTTCCAGACCTTATAACATCTTAATAGAGTGGTTATCTTAACTTTGATATCACCAGTCCTAACGTTTTGCTTCCATATTATTTAATTATTATTATTTTCAGTTAAATTTTGTTGGTTTGTTTGATTTTAATTTTATAATTATTATTTTATAAGACATTATAATTTGATCAATTATTTAATTGATCAATGATACATTTGTTTAATGTGTAAATCACCCAGAGTGGCCTTGGCAGCCAGATAGACAATATAAAAATCAAATAAATAAATACATTTGTTGATTGGGAGGAGAATTCTTTTAGGGGAGAATAACAGCTATTTTATTTCCAAAAAGCTTTAGTCTGAGATTAATATTTAGAAAGCCAAATCCAGCAGCCATTTTTTTGCTCTTTTCTGCCTTTGTAATGTCTATCTGTTGAACATTTACAGAAG